CTACTACATTTGTCTCATATATAAAAATACAGATGTAGAAGCATATTACTCTTAATTCTGTCTCCTTCAGCACTTTCCTACTAACCTGTTTTTTTCAATATTTAAAAAGAAATTAACATCCAGAGATCATATGAATATATAACTTCCAGCCTACTTTTTCTTTTAACACATAATCATTTTCTGTGTTGTCAGAAACTCTAAAATAGCTATATATACTCTTCCTTTTTAGGAATGTATTATGATTTATTTAGCTATCCCCACCCATTTTTTTTTTTTTTGGACATCTAAGGTCCAAGTGATGAAGCAAAACTGAAAATGAATGTATGATTTCAACTGTATGGTAATGGCACACATAGAAAAATGCATTCACAGGGAAATATGGGTGTTTTCTGCTTTGTGTGCATGTTACTTTTATAGGCAGAGAGAGGATCAGTCCCTTTGGGGTCTTTGCAGCAGCCCTCCCACCCCCCCTTTCTAAAGTGACTCCCACCAGTTAGTCCACAGAGAAGAGTCCCAGTCTGGAGGCTGGCATCATGGCAGAAGGCTGATTCCTGCCCTGGTTTCACTCACCTCCAGGGATGGTTTGCTCCACCCAGGGCCCTGGAGTCCTGCAGAAGCCTAGTGAGGTCAGGTGACAGGCCTGTAGCTGGTGGGAGAGCCAGGTGCTGTCTCCAGGGGCTGCCAGATCAAGTCCAGGCAGCTGAGGCCTTGAGGTAACAGTGGGTTTGATATTAGTGGGTCTTTTAAATTTTGGAGACAAAGAGCAAGATACTGCGAGTTCCCCCCCCCCATTTATTTTTATTAGTTGGAGGCTAATTACTTTACAGTATTGTACTGGTTTTTGCCATACATTGACATGAATCAGCCGTGGATTTACATGTATTCCCCATCCCGATCCCCGCTCCCACCTCCCTCTTTACCTGATCCCTCTGGGTCTTCCCAGTGCACCAGCCCCGAGCACTTGTCTCATGCATCCAACCTGGGCTGGTGAGCTGTTTCACCCTTGATAATATACATGTTTCGATGCTGTTCTCTCGAAACATCCCACCCTTGCCTTCTCCCACAGAGTCCAAAAGTCTTCTGTACATCTGTGTCTCTTTTTCTGTCTTGCCTATAGGATTATCATTACCATTTTTCTAAATTCCATATATATGCGTTAGTATACTGTATTGGTCTTTATCTTTCTGGCTTACTTCACTCTGTATAATGGGCTCCAGTTTCATCCATCTCATTAGAACTGATTCAAATGAATTCTTTTTAATGGCTGAATAATATTCCATGGTGTATATGTACCACAGCTTCCTTATCCATTCATTTGCTAATGGACATCTAGGTTGCTTCCATGTCCTGGCTATTATAAACAGTGCTGCGATGAACATTGGGGTGCACGTGTTTCTTTCAGATCTGATTTCCTCTGTGTGTATGCCCAGAAGTGGGATTGCTGGATCATATGGCAGTTCTGTTTCCAGTTTTTTAAGAAATCTCCACACTGTTTTCCATAGTGGCTGTACTAGTTTGCATTCCCACCAACACTGTAAGAGGGTTCCCTTTTCTCCACACCCTCTCCAGCATTTATTGCTTGTAGATTTTTGGATAGCAGCCATCCTGACTGGTGTGTAATGGTACCTCATTGTAGTTTTGATTTGTATTTCTCTGATAATGAGTGATGTTGAGCATCTTTTCATGTGTTTGTTAGCCATCTGTATGTCTTCTTTGGAGAAATGTCTGTTTAGTTCTTTGGCCCATTTTTTGATTGGGTCATTTATTTTTCTGGAATTGAGCTGCAGGAGTTGTTTGTATATTTTTGAGATTAATCCTTTGTTGCTTCGTTTGCTATTATTTTCTCCCAATCTGAGGGCTGTCTTTTCACCTTGCTTATAGTTTCCTCTGTTGTGCAAAAGCTTTTAAGTTTCATTAGGTCCCATTTGTTTATTTTTGCTTTCATTTCCAATATTCTGGGAGGTGGGTCATAGAGGATCCTGCTGTGCTTATGTCAGAGAGTGTTTTGCCTATGTTCTCCTCTAGGAGTTTTATCTTCAACAAAGGAAGCAAGAATTTACAGTGGAAAAAGACAACCTCTTTAACAAGTGGTGCTGGGAAAACTGGTCAACCACTTGAGAAAGAATGAAACTAGAACACTTTCTAACACCATCCACAAAAATAAACTCAAAATGGATTAAAGATCTAAATGTAAGACCAGAAACGATACCGCGAGTTTTAATGTGAGCAGTTCCTGACTTGGTGGTGGTAGCAGCTAAGTCAGCTCTAAGAGTACAATGCTGGGGGCAGCACACCACAGCAGTAGGCAGGGTAGAGCCCACTATTATACACAGACAACTAAGCAGTCATGTGCAGGGGACGGAGGCTGCAGGCCGCTGACGTGATCGGACCAGGGCAGCAAGGCATGGTGGAAGGTGGAAGGAGGCACAGAAAGCCCCCAGAGGAGGACGACGAGGACTGTGACAGAGCAGGGGAAGCAGACACCACACCTCTGCCTCATGGTTGTGCGCTCAGGAGGGTTACTGACGCTGGAACCCGGCCCCAAGCCCCACTGGGCCTTATCTACCACCTGATCCTATTTCTGCAGATGTTCTCTCATTGTCTCTCCAAGGAGGACACCTCCAGGGGAAGGCTCTGCCCAAATCTCCCACAACCCGGGGCTTCTGGGTTAGGGGGACTCTCTCCCTGCAGAGGGGCTCTTCCTTTCCCCTGGCCTGCCAGCCTCACTGTTCTCCAGGGGCAGCCCTGGCTGTACGCCAGGCTGGACACGCCTCTCTCATTGTGCACAGAACTATTTGTTTGGCACCGACCTTGGACTTGGTAGGTCAAAGGAATATCTTTTCAGTTGAGAAAACTTACCCGAACATGAGCTTATTTTGACCTGAAGCTATGCTTTTTGGACTCAGAACCACAATAAATAACACAGCTAAGGCAGTGGCTGAGGAGGGTTGGGAGATGCTGGGAAAGCTTTGGCAACTTCTAAGAACAGCACTTGCATGTCTTTTCTTGTGCTGAGAACGTTCTCTATCAAAGAGATTCTGGGCACAGTGAGTCTCTTACTGGTCCGGGCAGGGTGGACTAGTAGGACCGGGCAGGGTGGACTAGTAGGACCCACTGAACCTGCCCTACAGCTGTCCTCATGGCCCAGCTTTGTTCACTGATCCAGCAGGGGCATGTAGCCCTCATGGTGAGGGATGGAGACTCAGGCAGTGTCTAGAGGAATCCTGTGAGGCTTCCTTCTGCATTCTCCCCCCATGCGGGGGCGCGCCTCCCAGCAGGGAGAACACAGCCATGTGACTGTCAGCCCTCCTTATTGGGCTGGGGGCTAGGGGGTTGGTGCAGGACCACCCCCCTCTCCAAATCCAGAATCCAAAGAGGCTGAAGTCCCTTATATAGCATGATGTAGTATTTGCGTATGACTGACATCCATCTTCCCATATACTCCAAGTCACCTTCAGGTTACTTAATAAAATACCTAATAGAATGTACCTAAGAATAATAATAATACCTAATGATCTTCCTGGGTTGGGAAGATCCCCTGAAGATGGAAATGGCAACCCACTCTAGTATCCTTGCCTGGAAAATCCCATGGATAGAGGAGCCTGGTGGGCTGCAGTCCGTGGGGTTGCAAAGAATCGGCAGGACTGAGCGACCAACACTACTACTAATAGAATGTAAATGCTTTGTAAATACGGTATAAATGTTATGTTAATAGTTGCGGGTCTGTGTAAATAGTTACTGCCCTGCACAGATGTGTGGTAACTATTTAAATAGTATTCAAGTGTTGCTTTCTGAAACTTCGTGAAAAAAAATTTTTCCCCAGTATTTTTAGCTAGAAGTTGGTTGAATCCATGGATGAAGAACTCAGGGTAGGCAGTGCTTCTGCCTAAGGAAGCTGGTTAGAGCATGGTGTGGAGGGCTGTGTCTTAGAGCTCCACCTGTGCTGATACCGGAAGCTCTGCTCCAGGAAAATGCAAAACTGCAACAGTAGCTGAGGATGGTTGAGTGCTCATGCCCAACTCGGCATTCTAGTCCCTTCAGTGTTACCCTTGCTGGGAGTTCAGTTTATTCCCATTTAACAGAGGTGGTAGCTGAGGCCAGGGTCTAGGTAGAGGGACTCTGGAGAGCCCACAGGAAGAAGTCCTCCATGGCCCCTGGCCCACACCCTGTCCTCAGCAGCGCGGGCTCCCCAGGGAGCAGCTGAGATTGCAGGTCCCTGTGAGGATGACAGTGGCCACTGCAGCCCAGGACAGAGCTGAGAGCAGCTGTGTCTCTGGAATGGTGCTTCCCCTGTCCTGCTGGAATTCAGCCCATTTACCCCAATCGCCAACTTCCGGAACTAGAACCGTGGTTTTCAAGGCTTGGTTCCCCCACAGGCAGCACCTGCAGGACCTGAGAACACATTACAAATGTAAATTCCCAGGTCCCACCCCAGAACTCCTGATTGGAAACTGGAGGTGGTTCCTAGGGATCCCCCAGGAAGGTGCTGCTCTGAAGTCAAGGTCACAGACCTCTGTCTGGAATGTGAGATCCCCTGGTCTCTTCCCTTTTAGCCTTGGCTCAGCTGTGTGTGAGCCTCATGGGCTGTCATTAAGTCTGTCTTCATGAGATGAGGCAGCAGTAGGTGCTCAGTAAGTACGGCTAGTGAGTCCTTAACAGGCATCTCCTAAATGCCCACCCTATGCTCGGGTCTGTGCACCCAGAGATCGGGTCCAGTGGCGGGGGTGGGGACTGTGAGCAGAAGCCCAGCACAGTTTGGAAATGGGAAGAACCCTCCAGAAATGCACATTCCCAGACACCAGCCAAGGCCAGTCTCGTAGGCAGGCCTACTGGGCTAACCATGCCCGGAAACTTCCCCAAGCAGGGCGGGACCTCCACAGCTGATCAAGCCAAGGTGCAGGCGGGAAAACAACAGGAGGCCCAGTAGCTGGGCTGAGAGCCAGGACCTGGGGTCGCTGCCGTCCACGTGCTCACGGGACCTGTCTCCTCTCTCTGTCCAGTGTGGGACTGCCTTTCAGGAGGATGATGTCATCGTGCTCAACGGCAGCAAGGAAGATGTGGAAGTGCTGAAAAGCAGGATGGAGGAGAGGCGGCTGCGAGCCAAGCTGGAGAAGGTACCGTCCTGGGCTTTGCCCTCAGCCTCTGAGTCTGGGTGAAAGTAGGTCCTGCCCAGCTGTTGCCCCTGCTCTGGAGCGCGTTGCAACCCCCCAACTGTGCTGCTGGTGGCGCCCTCAGGGTTTGCAGTGATGGCTTTTATGACCTAGAAGAGCCTGGGGTCTAGGAAGATGCCTCGCAGCTTAGGCTCCATGGTCTGCTCCGCACTGAGCTTCCTCTGAGCTTCCTCCTCAGTGTGGAGGGAGGAGTGGTCAGCCCATCCACAGGGGATGGACGTGTCCAGGAGAGTAGAGAACAGCCTTCCTACTGCTTGGCCTCTCCTCCTGCCCACCTGTTTTGAGTGGCGCCTCGGTGAGTATCAGCTGCAGGCAGCACTCTGGTTGGGGGTGTGGGGGTGCAGGCTTTGCTTTGTGCCCCAGGCTCAAAACAGTTGATCAGCTAAGAAATTTGCTCAATATGCCATCGACTGGATCCAGCAGTAAATTTTGTTTTTTCTTGAGTACTTAAAGTGATAGCGATGGTCTTTTTTTCATTCTTAAAAGAAAAAGGTTTAGGTTAAATGTGGGAGAAATTTCATGTCTTCAGAACTAAGGCAAAGGAATGCCTAAAATACTAGAAAATTGAGGACTTAAAATTATGGGGAAGAAAAAATAGCCTGCCTGTTTTTATGCAATTGGAGTACATCTACCAGTGATGTAATAATTTAAGATTTTTCAGGTTTTTCTTTTTTAAAAACCATAATAGAGGAAAGTACAGGACTGTATCACTCTCAAATAATATGTAATTCATGTTCATGGGGCTTTAAAAGCCTGATGCTTGAGAATGTGGTGTTGGTATTATGTGTCCAGAATTCTCAGAAAGCTAAACCATTTGAGTTTCCTCCTCTTATTGTCTCACTTAGGTAGAAAATAAATAATGTGTGTGAATTATTCTGTAGTGCAGGAAATTGTGCCCAACTTATGTGATCAAATGCCAAAAGAAGTGTTCCTCGAAGTGGTCTTATATGGGGTTATTACAACATTCATGAGGATAAAGAGCCACTCTGTTTTAAAGGGGTGACTTTAGGATTCAGTTCAGTTCAGTTCAGTCGCTCAGTCGTGTCCGACTCTTTGCAACCCCATGAATTGCAGCACGCCAGGCCTCCCTGTCCATCATCAACTCCCGGAGCTTACTCAAACTCATGCCCATCGAGTTGGTGATGGCACCCAGCTATCTCATCCTCCGTCGTCCCCTTCTCTTCCTGCCCCCAATCCCTCCCAGCATCAGGGTCTTTTCCAGTGAATCAACTCTTCGCATGAGGTGGCCAAAGTACTGAAGTTTCAGCTTCAGCATCAGTCCTTCCAATGAACACCCAGGACTGATCTCCTTTAGGATGGACTAGTTGGATCTCCTTGCAGTCCAAGGGACTCTCAAGAGTCTTCTCCAACACCATAGTTCAAAAGCATCAATTTTTTGGCGCTCAGCTTTCTTCACTGTCCAACTCTCACATCCATACATGACCACTGGAAAAACCATAGCCTTGACCAGATGGACCTTTGTTGGCAAAGTAATGTCTCTGCTTTTTAGTATGCTATGCAGGTTGGTCATAACTTTCCTTCCAAGGAGTAAGCGTCTTTTAATTTCATGGCTGCAGTCACCATCTGCAGTGACTTTGGGTTTAGGAGCAATTAAATCTATAAATGTGTTCATTTTAAGTTGGTTTTCTAAATAACTGTGATCTTATTATCAAACGAGCAAAAAAAGAAAAAGTTTGAGATGTTTTTGGCAGAGGACATTTACCAAAAAGGATCTGCTGCTTCTTGATTGCTACTATCAATCAAGTTCAGTTTTTAAAAAGCGCAGAAGGGGAAGATTGTATTTTGAAGGAAGCTTTAGTAGAGACGGTGGTGTGGTCGTAGCCCTCTTACCTGAGTTGTCTCCTGTGTCCCAGGCTTCCGCCAAGTTGTTGAAAGCCCAGCGGAGCTAACCTGCCCGTCTCCGCAGGGTCCTCCCCGGAGCTTCTGGGAATGCCTCTTAGAGACGGCTGCCAGGAAACCAAAATATTTCCCAAATATACCCACAGCTAGGAATAGGACATAGCATTTCCTTTCTAATGCCCCATTGCCCGTGCTTTTCAAATATCATAACCTTAGCTGTGAATGGAGGACTTAGAAGTCAGTATTATTTTTGAACCATGAGGTGTTACCCTCAGAGTTGAGTGCATGTCTTGCATGTGTGAAATGAACAAGACATTGCGTTTTGTACAGGTGTTACAAATCACATGGCATATATATATATATATTACAAGACCAAGAGACCACTGCCTGAGCAGGGTCTCTGATGTTTTCTAGAGATGGGATGTTTTCTAGATATGGGAGCCTCCTGAAAGGGTTAGGTTGTGTATCTTTAGCGCCACCTTTGGCATACTGAAGGAAATAGCATGATTAAAGTAAATTCCCTCAGTGAACAGAGTCCAGTTTGTCCCATGATTGAATCAGCTGTGTGGTTTTTAATATTCTTCTTCTCTTAATGTTTATTTATTTATGGCTGCACTGGGTCTTCATTGCTGCGTGGGCTTTCTCTAGTTGTGCTGCATGGGCTTCTCATTGCGGTGGCGTCTCTTGTTGCAGAGCATGGCCTCTAGGGTGTGCGAGCTTGAGGAGTTGTGACACGGGCTTAGTTGCTCCTCGGCCTGTGGGATCTTCTCAGTTCAGGGATCGAATTTGTGTCTTTCGCATTGTTAGGTGGGTTCTTTACTACTGAGCCAGCAGGGAAGCCCAGCTGTGTGGTTTTTAGAATAGTTTCATTTCTTAATTTTTTGCTGACCAGCTTAACTATTATGAGTGACAGAATTCTAACAGAAGTAATCCACAGTTGAGAATTGGCTGAAGTGTTCTTTAGTACAGGCCTCAAGTCCTTACAGTTAAATACACAGATGTCAGAGCATTTTGACCACTGTGAAGAGGTCTTCCTGAAAAGGTTAGGATTTGGTCCATAGTTATCCTGTCTGGATTTTATGTTACTATCCAGCTAACTGCTCTTATGTGTGCAGCGGTCACTATTAAAACGGACTATTCTCACCGAAACTTGTCTTCCTCATTGAAATTGTCTGAGGATGTGGTTTTGGAATGTAACTGCTGAGCAGATCTCTCCAGATGTATACTGCGTGAGGCATAAGTGTGCAGCCAGAAACACCTAGGCAGGACCAAGGTGCAGAGCTGAGGGTCAGAGTCATCTTCAGAGGGAGCCCTGCCCTAGGTGACCTGTGTCAGCCTCAAGTTGGACTCCCAGGCCAGTGGCAGCCACACGGACGCTAAAATCAGTGAATTGGAGCAATTGGAGCACATGTCCTCTCTCCCTTTCTTTTCACAGAAAACAAAGAAATCTAAGGCAGCAGAATCTGTCTCAAAATCAGATGTCAGTGAAGGTAAGATGCTAAAAAGAAGGCCTTATTTAGCACAAATAAGACCCTAGGCCTGTTTTGCTAAATAAGTTCCTGGTTTGGTTTTGTTTTTTCACAGAAACCCCAGGACCATCAAAAATGAAAACAGGGAAGCCCGAGGAAACCAACCTTGACACTCGAGAGAAGAAGACCAACTCGGCTCCAAAAAGTGCAGGTGGGTCCAGTTGAGATGATGGTGGGCCACTCAGATGGCTGGAGACCCACATGGTTGTGTCACTGTTTGTTGGGGTGACTCTGAAGACTCAAGCTTATCCTGATTGTGTCTCTTGCTCTCTTAGGGGTTCACTGAGCTCTCTTGGGGGTTGACTAAGAAACAGTTGATTCACGGGATTGAAGGGGGTGTTCACACATGCCGTTGTCCAGTTTTCCTGTGGAGCCTGCTTGTAGGGCCAGGCAAACGGGGTGCAGAGACCAAAGATCTGACTCGTTCGTTCCCCATTTTAAGGCTGAGTTCTCTGTGCACCAGATGTGCACTGGAGCCAGCCTCCCTCCACCTGCCTCCCGACCAGGAGCCGTTTGATAGCTAGTCCAGAGTTTAGAGACACTAGTATTTATTTCACAAAGAAGAGAAGCACAGATGGATAAGGTAAGGAGTGAGTCATCTTGTGTTCATGGGTTCCAGATACCCCTCCACATACCAGCCACCTGGCCTCAGGGTCTCATGTGTGTCAATCTCTGAAGCTGGGGCCTGTGCAAGTAGTGATTAAGGTGATTTTAAATGACAGATTTACATACAGTAGCTTCGTTTGTTTTTTGGGCTTAGTGATTGAGATACTGTATTTCAACATTCCTCCCCAGAAAGGAGGAGGGAAATTCCTGGGCTTGGTGGCCTCTCAAGAATGTGATGGTAGGAATGGTCTGCAGCCCCAGCCTCAGAGTTCAGAGCTTTTTGTTTTTCCAGCAGCACACGGGATCGCTTCTGGAAAAGCCGCGAAGAGGTCCATTGCCGACAGCGAAGAGTCAGAAGCTTATAAGTCTCTCTTCACCACCCACAGCTCCGCCAAGCGCTCCAAGGAGGAGTCGGCCCACTGGGTCACCCACACATCCTACTGCTTCTGAGGCCAGCGGTGCGGCCTCAGCTGGGCCCTGTGTACTTGCTGGAGCCACTCGAGTAGGAGGGCGCAGCGGGGACTCTGTGACCCCGCCGGCCTCGCCTGTCATCCTGTCCCGCTCACCTCCACCCTCTGTGCACTTGGACCTTCCCCCGGCCCAGAGATCATGTTGGCTGCATACTTATGCTCAAAATAATTAAAGACTCCAGGTTCCTCCTGGGTGTGTGGTCAGCTCATTTTGACTAAAATTTTCATGGTTTTGTTGCCAATGGTTAATTAATTAAATAAGCTGAGTGAGACTGAACTTGAGAAAGGACGAGTTGAGTTTCAAGTACATTCTGCCTGCAGGGCTGTGGGAGGGAGCCTTTTGCACCAGAGCAGGGGACTTAAGGGGTTTCCTTGCTCCATGGGTGTGATGAGAGAGGAGATTTAGTTGTGCACCTGATGATTTGGTACAAAATTTAAGTCTAACGTCTGCTTTTTCTCTCATCTCTGTGTTTTTCTTCTTCCACTAATATTTGAGTAAGAAACTTGCAGCCATTGCATTGTTAGTGACAGTAATTCTGTGACGTCACGTCAGTTCCACGTTCTCTCTCAGCAGATTATGAAAAGGGAAACTGGGCATAAAATTGGTGTGTCTCATGCATAAAGTGTGTTGAAGTCAATAATTAATGAAACTCTGCTCTAAAGGCAGGAGCATCAAGATTGTGAGCCCTGCCTTCTGGAGACGGGGGCATGTTACTGAAATGGTTCTTTATAGGAGATCCGGGGCATGAGGTTCCATTAAAAAGCAGGCAGAGGAAACACAACACTGTAAATCAAATATGCTTCAGGAAAATAAAATTTTTTAAAAACCAGGCAAAGGATGGGAGAGGAGGTTGGAAGCAGGAGGGAGCAGCCTGGGGTTGGGGAGGGGAAGGTGCTGGAGAACCGAAGCCAGGCTGCTCTGTCACCCTGTCCTCTGCCTTAGCAATCTGGGGAGTTGGACCTGAGGATATGTGAATATAGATTCATTTTCATCAGATTATATTAGTATCAGTGAATTTTTGTTACGGACTTTTTCCAGAAAAAACATGAAAATTATCGTTCATGTACATTTACATACAGATACATCTAGTTATGATCACCATGCCTATTTCTGATCAACCCTGGGGTCTCGCACCCCTGTAAGTGTGAGGCTCCCTCTCTACCTGGGAGCCCCCCGCCCCTGAAGCTAGGGGGAGTGTGAGCCCCAGGTCAGCCTGTGTGGTACGTCCGACTCTCCTCTGTCTCCCCTTCTGATTTCACATCCTCTCACAGAACTTCCCTGGGCTCGACACAGTCAGAGGCTGAGTGCAGACACCCCATGGACCCTGGGTTGTAGCAGCAGAAGTCTTCTTTCCGAGGAATAAATGTCAGATGACCCAGTGGAATAGGTGCAAGCGCTGTGTTCTGCTAATTGGGATTTTTTTTGTTTTGTGTCACTTTTAGAAGCTGTTGGTTTCGAATGCAGTGGCTCAGGTGCTTGGTTGTGTTCCTGGTGGTGGCCTCTTATCTGCTGCACCCCTGTCACCTCCCAGTCCCCACACTTGCCTGGATGTCAGCCTTTCCCCCTCTTCATCCAGCCCACTCCTGATCATCCCTCACACTCTGCCCGGATGTCTTTCTCAGGAAAACCTGCCTGCCTGAACTAGCCTCCAGCTACCCCCTTGCACTGTTAAAGCTCTCATTTCTTACCACATTTTTTTTTGTTTTTTTGGCCATGCCATTCAGCCTGCAGCATCTTCATTCCCCAGTCAGGGATCGAACCTGTGTCCCCTGCATTGGAGTCTTAACCCCTGGACCACCAGGAAAGTTCCCTCATCACTGTTTTTTCACAGTAATATCACTTCAGTCCCTGGATTCGGAAGATCCCCTGGAGAAAGGAATGGCTACCCACTCCAGGATTCTTGCCTGGAGAATCCCATAGACAGAGGAACCTGGCAGGCTATGGTTCATGGGGTCACAAAGAGTCAGACATGACTGAGCAACTAGCACTTTTCAGTTTTTTCATTAGCAGTTATATTAAATATTAAAAATGAGTTTTCATTTACATTTGAAATTGAGATGTCCAATCTCCATTGTTTTTCCAGAGAACAGGAAAAAAAGTTCACCTAAAAGCATGGAGCTTTTTTAAGGCTAGCTATTCACAAACTTCACATTGGCATTTTTCTTCAGTTTTCATCTCAACTATTAAGTACTAAACTCAAACATGATTTGCTAATAAACAACTGCACACTTCATACTGTGATGATTTGATAACATCACGTAAAACTAATCTCAGATGTTGATTTGTCTTCAATTATAAATAATAAAAATATAGCAAAAAAGGTCTTTCCTAATCCCCTTGTCACAATTTTAATGAAATAAATGATACTTTTAATTAAGCCAGGCATTGTACACTCAGGTGACGTCATCGAATGTGGATATGAGGTGATAGGAAGAACGTGGCCAGTGGAGGGGCGGTTCCTACTTGGCTCCAGCAGAGAGGGGCCCTGTGTTATGAGATCTTCCATACTTTTCAAGGAAATCAGAAATCTGACCTTTGTAAATGGAGCTCCCCCACCCCCATTTAAATACCCCAGCCAAAGCAAGAGATGCAGGAGACTTGGTTTGATCCCTGGGTTGGGAAGATCACCTGGCAGAGGAAATGGCAACCCACTCCAGTATTCTTTCCTGGAGAATCCCATGGACAGAAGAGCCTGGCTGGCTATAGTCCGTGGGGTCACAAAGAGTCAGACACGACTTAGCGACTGAGCACAATCATTTTTCGGAACAGTGTTGGCCACACAAAAAACATCATTGGCTCCTAGTTTGCAGCCTCTGGTTTATTATCTTTCCCTCCCATTCGGCTTTCTGCTCCACCGGGGCACATGCCTTGAGTCTGCTCTGCTCACCACAGTGTCTGGATTCAACAAATGGAAAAATAAATATAGGAGATGGACCCGCCCTCCCAGTAGAGCACCTGGCTCAGAAAGCATACACTGGTAAGGAGGTGGCATTCTGTCACTCCCCGCCTCTTTTTCGACTGCTTGCTGGAAAGGACGCCGTTTCCCTTTAAATCTTATTCCCAGGCGACACCCCTCAAGCCTCTTTATCCTCTGCCCTGAAGTCATCACAATGGCCAGAGTGGGTTCTGGCTGGGGGGCCTCTGTGACATCACCACGATCCAGCCCTGCCTGGTCCCCTGTCTCCAGGTGCAAGAGCATAGCAGCCCACTGCGAGCCACATCCTGCTGCATCTCTGCTCACCATGCAGTCTCTGAAATGGTGCTTGTTCTTGCCTCTGTGTCTCTCCTGTGGCTATGCCTTTATGTTTTCTTCTCTGAGAGATAAACCCAAAGAAACCCAGGGGAAGGTGCCCTGCGGAGGGCACTTTCGAATTCGGCAGAATCTACCGGAGCATACCCAAAGTTGGCTTGGGAGCAAGTGGCTCTGGCTCATTTTTATTGTTGTGCTGTACGTGATACTGAAGTTTCGAGGAGATAGTGAGAAGAATAAGGTAAGGGTGGCTCTGTTTGTTACTCCACATTGATTCCATCTCAGAAACCTCAGACTCAGAGAAACAGATGCTCTCGTTATTACAGGCAAGACTGTTAGGTATAACGAGTTTGAATATGGAGTATCTACTCCCAGTCCTGAGTGTGCTGGTTAACTCATTTCCCCACATATCCTTAGAGAAAACTAGACCTGAACTCACAGAGGTTGGGACTCATAGTTAAAGGCCACCTTTTGTTTATTAGGCAACTAAAACCTTGGCTCAATGTTTATCCTGTTAAATCAGGTTTTTTTCAAATAAAGATAGATTGAAGAACTTGGCATGTTTCAGGTCAAAATTATTTACAGAGCCAGATTCACTGCCCCTGATTTTTCATTTCCCTGGCATCTGAATTATTACCAGTTGCTGAACTGAATGGAAGTGGTATCATTATTCCAAGTAAAGGAAGAGATCTGTCATAAAGGGTCAGAGGTGTAAAGAAGTAACAGCCTGTCCATGAAGTGGCTGAAGAGCTCTGAGAAGGGGATGGGAAGAGAAATACGGTGGCTGTTCCCTCTTCAACAGACCCAACGCTCCAGGATACTGTGTCCAAACTGATGGGAGCAGGGGATTGGCAAACATTTTCTGCAAAAGGCCAGATAGTCGACATTTTCAGCTTTGTAGCCCATTCAGTCTGTTGCAAGGATTCAACTCTGCCCTTTGAGCATGAAAGCAGTCATAGACTATAAGCAAATGAATGAGCCTGGCTGTGTTCCAGTAAAACTTTATTAACAAGAACAGCTGGCAGGCCAGATTTGGCCATCATTTGCCAGTCCCTTGACTAGATCAATGCTAGAGCCAACTTCTCTCAGGTGAGCCCAACTCTCAAAACTCTGTCAAAACCAGCAATGTCAATGGTATCATTCACCCTGAATATCTTTCTTGACAGGTGCAGACTCCTCCCACCCTTCGGGGCTGTACATTTCGCCCTCCAGGAAGGAAAAACGCTTCTCCCAACAAAGACTATACATTCAGTACCTTAACCCAGCTCGAGATGGACCTTGTGAAATTTGTGTCCAGGGTGCGGAATCTGAAAGTCACCATGGCAACCGGCGGTCACTTCAGGCCTCAGAACTTAGGGGGTGTGGACCCACACCATAACGTTACAATATATGAGATTTGGGGCGAAGAAGACCCTGCCGATTGAGTGGGTTTGTGTGTCCAAATAGGAAAGGAAAAGTTGGGTACTGACAAACTGTATCCAAACTATAAAACTGTTGTGAAGAAAAGCAGTTCTCAAATTCGTGACCTTTTTCCTTTCTTATTTTTTTTTTTAACTGGAAAAAAAACGTGAGGCCAGACGCCATTGCAGTTACTGTTTTTGTGTTTCTTACCTCCTCCAGAGCTGAAGGTAGTGAGAAGTGTGAGGAAAGTGACATTAGCATTGGGTGACAATTTTGGCTACTGTACCATGACCTTTGTAGAATAAGGCTTGGGAGATTTTTGGGGTAAGATGCTAATATTATTTCTGTAATAGCTATCTTTATAGTAGCTATTTTTGGAAAGGGCAGAATCATTTTTTCTCTAATTCACTACATTACAAAGGACAACTTTAATTATAGGTTTAAAATTATAAAATGATTGAATTAGGTGTGTGTGTCCAGAGGATGGTGGATTCACTTCATTTTCTTTCTTTTTTTTTAATGTTTGTTTATTTAGCTGCACCTGGTCATAGTTGCAACCTGTGGGATCCAGTTCCCTGACCTGGGCTCCCTGCATTGGGAATGTGGAGTCTTAGCCACTGGACCACTAGGGAAGTCCCTCACTTCATTTTCTTACCTTCAGAAACTTATTCATTCTATCTTGTGGGTCTGACATATTGACTTTTTCTACTATAAAACTGACGGTTACATGTATCTAAGTGGATTAAGAAAAATGGGAGACTCAAACCACGTTTCTAATGTCATTTGGATATAGACAAGCTAATCAGGAGCTTCCAAAGCAGTCAGTGTTAACATTCTTTGTGAGTGCTAAGTCGCTTCAGTAGTTTCTGACCCTTTGCGACCCTGTGGACCACTCTGTCCGGGATTTCCCAGATGAGAATATTGGAGTGGGTTGCCATTCCTCCTCCAGAGGATCTTCCCGACTCAGAGATCAAACCCACGTCACTTACGTCTCCTGAATGTTCTTTATAATACTTGTTTAAAGTATGGATATTTGGGGAACTTCTCTGGCAGCCAGCCCAGTGCTTCCATTGCAGGGGACGAAGGTTTGATCCCTGGTTGGGGAACTAAGATCCCACATGCCTTGCAGTGTGCCAAAAAACCGCAATAATAAAAATGAAATAAAATATGGATATTTTGGCATGTTTATATGGCTAATGGAAGCTACACTTTCTCTGGGCTGTTCTATTAGCTCATGACGCCTCATATAGGCCAGCCTGATAGTTTTAGGACAAGCAGATGCAGGCCTGGGCAGAGACATCCACTCTGGAGGTTCCCTTATTTCCACTTCACACCTAACTAAAGTGTGCTCGAACCTCCATTGCCTTCCATCTGGCTAAAAAGAGTTAACCCTCGTGGTTCGAGCACCATCCTCAAGACCACACAGTGTCTGAGAGACCTCAGGTTAGACCTGCCCACCTCTTCCCCTCTCATCATTTGTCACCCTGTCTTTGAAAAGTGGTCCCTGGAACCATCTTGGACCCTGTGGAGGTGTGTGGAGTTCCTGCAGCTGAACTTTGGGGGCAAATAAGAGAGGCCTGCTGGGAACGGGACTTCTAAAACGACAAATATGTCTGGAAGGCTGTGGTCCAAGGCCATTTTTGCTGGCTATAAACGGGGTCTATGGAACCAAAGGGAACACACTGCTCTCCTGAAAATTGAAGGTGTATATGCTCGAGATGAAACTGAATTCTATCTAGGCAAGAGATGTGCTTATGTGTACAAAGCAAAGAACAACACAGTAACTCCTGGTGGAAAATCTAACAAAACCAGAGTGATCTGGGGAAAGATAACTCGAGCTCATGGAAACAGTGGCATGGTTTGTGCCAAATTCCGAAGTAACCTTCCTGCTAAGGCCATTGGACACAGAATCCGTGTGATGCTGTACCCTTCGAGGATTTAAACTTCTTGAAAATAAATAAAAGTGTGGATTTGAAGAAAAAAAAAAAAAAGAAAAGTGGTCCCTGAACCCTTTGCTTTTTGTCTTAATTTCAGCTCTCACAATATTAAAAAAAGAGAAGAAAAAAAAAAAACTGGAAGGAGTTGAGACGTCTCCTCAGTGCCTCCTGTACTCTTTCTGGGTCTTTTCAAGCAGAAGTTATTTTTCCAGCACATTCTGAAGAAATGCAGATAAGGAAAAAAGACTTTGGTTTTAACCTATGATGTCAACACGGGGCATATTTTAGATTAGAATGGAGATAATCAAAAGGTTGCCAAATCACGACTCACAGGTCAAATAAGCTTCTGCCTGTTTTTGAACAGCCCTTGAACTAACAATGGTTTTTTTATTTTTAATTTTAGTTTTTGGCCACTCCATGTGGCAGGCAAGGCCTTAGTTCCCTGATCAGGGATAGAACCCATTCCACCCACAGTGGAAGCATGGAATATTAACCACTTGGACCATCAGGGAAGTCCAAAAATGGATTTTATGTTTTTAAGTGGTTGAAAAAAAATCAACTGATGAATCATATTTCGTGATATGAAAATTACATGAAACTCAAATTTCATTGACCATAGATAAATTTTTATTGAAACAGAGCCACACTATCATTTGCATGTTGCCTATGGTGACTTTTGTGCTCTGTGGCAGAGTTGAATTACTGCACAGAAACCATTATGACCCACAGAGCTGAAAATATTTACTAACTAGCTCTTCAGAGGAAAAGTTTGCTGATCCTAGTTTATGTTCATCTCACTCAGTCGTGTCCAACTCTTTGTGACCCCATGGACTAGAGCCCGCCAGGTTCCTCTGTCCATGGAATTCTCCAGGCAAGAATACTGGAGTGGATTGCCATTCCCTTCACCAGGCGATTTTCCTGACCCAGGGATCAAACCTGGGTCGTCTTCTTTGCGGGCAGATTCTTTACCATCCGAGCCACCAGGGACGTCCTAATTTATATGTTAACAAACAGAAAATATGTTCATTGGAATCTGATATATCAATAACCTTCACAAACATCCCCTCTTTGTCTGAGAAGCAAAAATGTAATTCCATATCATTTTTGTGTCATTTTGTCCTAGCTAATGATGGGAATCCTACGAAAGAGCAAAACATCAAAATTTCTTATAGGAAGTTGATCTGGGGTATAATTAGAACAAAATCTGCTGTACAAGTGGATTTAACAATTCCCATAAAAGAGTGTCCCGAGTCTTTGCCTCGACTAACACAAAGCTTTGCAGACCGGTGTTGCCTAGAAAATAGTGTTTTCCTCGCCCCAGTCTATTTCGTGCATTATTTTCATACAAAAATGTAATAGATACAGATCAAGGAGCAAGAGCCCCACAAAGCCGCTCACCTCTGCTGAGTATCAGTGAAACCCCAGGGCTTCCGCACTCTGCAGTGACGCAGCAGCTCGAAGCCACTAGATGGCTGTAGTTGTCTACGCTGCTGTCTCCATCAGAGGAGATTCACTTGAAGGGTTGGCAGGATTCGTAGCCAAGACCTTCTCCTGGCTGCCTGAAGAGACCACTGCCAGAGGTGGTAGGTCATGAGGCAGAGATGTGAGAGCATCCTCTAGGATCTGAGAGCAGTCCCCAGTCAACAGCTAGAAAAGAAGCCCAGAGTCTCAGTCACACAGCTGCAAGGACAGGATCTGGAAGAACCCCCCGTGTCACAGGGGACCCCTGTTGTGGGAGACCCTCGCAAAGGAGCCCACCCACCGGAACACAGACTCTCGGTCCACAGAAACTGTAGGAGAATAAATGTGTGTTGCTTGAAGCCACTAAGTTTGTGATAGTTTATGACACAGCAGTAGAAAATCAGTACCACACACACACACACATACCATCTTCCTGTTCCCAATTGCTGAACACCATTGCTGTTCCCAATGCCTTGGAGGATAAGTCCACACTCCCTCTGACCTAGTCCCTGGCCTCTGAACCAGAGGAATGGGACCAAAGGAATAATGGAAGGGGATCAAGAATAGGGTTGTCCTGCTCCTTGAAGCTAGAAGTTACAAACTATTGGCTCAGGGACCAAACCTCCCCCTGCCCTGACATGTTTCTTTGACCATAATCACGTTTTTTAGCATTTTATTTGAAATAATTGTAGATTCACAGGTAGTTGCAAAGGTAACAGAGTGTCTTCTTAGACCCTTCACCTGGATTCCCCAGTGGTTGCATCTTATGCAACTTGAGAACAATCACAGAACCAGAAGACAGATGTTGCAACAGTGTGTGGGGAGAGTTCTGTGTTGTTCTGTCCCCGGTGTAGAAGCATGGATCACCCCGCCCCGCCGCCCCCCCACCCCCGCCGCCAACTACACCATCCTGGCAGAGACCCTCAACAGCCTTCCCCACCTCCCCTGACCCCTGGCAACCGTTTCCATCTCTATGACAATGTTATGCGAATAAAATCACACAGTGTGTGACCTTTGAGGTTGGCCTCTTTCACTCCATACAACCCTTCAGATACATCCAGGTGGTGTCATATGCCAACAATTTATGCCTGTCTGCTGCTGAGTCTGTTGAACCATCCACTTGTGGGGGGACATTTTAGTCTTTTGTAGTTTTCGCTTATGATAACAGGACTGCTATGAAGGATTGTGTGCAGGTTTCTATGTGAACACACACTTCCATTTCTCTGGTTTAGATGTCCAGGATTATGGCCGCTGGTTGACATGAGAAGTGTAGGTTTTGGCCTTCACTGAGAGTCAAAGATTTAGAAAAAAAGATGCACCTAGAGAACTGCCTCTCTTTCTCATCCCTGCTACCCGAATCCCATTCCCTCTTCCCCTCCACAAAGCCCTATAGGGCTGTGATCAGCCTCGTTGCTTTCTGTCTTATCCTTCCTGCATTTCTTTTGTGCAGATGAATAGATATATGTATATTTTCTTATGCTCCTTCTTTCTGATGTGAAGGAGAGCAAGCGTTCTATATTCCTTGGGGCTTTGCTTTCTCCATTTAACAGTATGTCCTTGAAAATCCCTTATTGGCTTTGAGAGGGTCTTTCTCATCCTTTTTTCCCTGATGCAGAGTGCTCCATTGTGTTTGTTCAGCCTATGTCTTACATGCAGATATTCAGGTAGTTTCCAGTAGTTTGAAATGACAAATGATAATGCAGTGAATCACTTGTGTATACCTGTTTTTGTGTTGTTGGAGACATAACTTTAGGGTAAATTTCTAGGAATGAGCTTAGTGGGGGAGAAAGGTAAGCCCAGGCCTAGTTTTGTTATGTATTGCCAAATTTCCCTCCAGGAGGCTTGTACCAGCTCGAATTCTCATCAGAAATGCCAATACAGATTTTTTTTTTTTTTTAATGGATGTGTGGACAGCTGAATGGACACTTCTGCCTGAATTACCTGTCCTAGATGGCCTTGTGAGGCTTGCAGTTACCTAAGATTGAAGCTAGGTGGCAGACGAAGCCTGTCATGGGAAACAGCGCTCGGGTTTCCCAGACTGTTTTCCAAGACCCTTGATGAAAATAATGTGTGAGATGAAGTGATAGTGGTCATAACACTTTTATCATAGTAGCAACTGGCGTTCTTTGTACCAGTAGTAATAACAGGGACTTCCCTAGTGGTCCAGTGGCTAAAATCCTGAGCTCCCAATAAAGGGGGCCTGGGTTCAATCCCTGGTCAGAGAACTAGATCCCACATACTTCAACTAATAGCTGGTGCAGCCAAATAAATAAATAAATGTGTGTGTGTGTGTATATATATATACACACACATATATACATACATATAATATTTTATATACACATATTTTTTAAGCAGTAATAACAACATTACTTTTTATTAACAATGAACTTTTGTCATTGATTATTCATTTATTCAAGTGTTTGTTTTGTGCACTTCTCCAGGTTCTGGGCATGAGAAGATAAAAACAAACAAACATCTTCCCGGGACAGAGTTTGCTGTCCACTGAGGGAGAAATGAGAAGCATGCCCATGAGTCCAAAAGGTAGTCTGTCCAAGGTAGGAGGTGAGGGTGTGGGGGTCAGTGAAAGAGATGGTTCTTTAGATCTTCAATGGTGTGGTCCTGGAAGGGTTACTGAGAAGTCATTACTGGAGGGGGTTGGCCCTGAAGACCAGCTAGAGATGGGTATGGAGGACACTGGGAGGGGAGGTGCAAAAGCCCAGAGGCTGGAGGGAGCCCAGCCTGACGGGGAGCCCTGGGTGGGGGTGGTGTCCTGTGTTTGGGGTGGAGTTGGGGAGGGGATGAGGTGGGGCCCAGGGAGCAGGTGCCTTGCAGGCCACCGATAGGACTTGAGTTTCCCTCCTTGTGAGATGAGGGCCATGGAGAGACGAGACTGGAACCCCCTCCCCCAACCCCCCAGGCCAGGATGCACCCATTTCCCCAGGTATCTCCAGATGGCCCAGCCTGGGCCACACCCGAAGGATGCTGAGTGAGTGCTGGTCTCTGCTTTCAGGGGCCCTTGGTGGGGGTGGGGGCGCCTCAGAGGACAACAGACATGCAACATGAGGTTTCCTGTGGGAAACAAGGAGTATTGTGGAGGCCCTGAGGGTGAGCTCTGCCTTCTGGCGCCTTGGAGCCACTTACCAGTTCTGTAAACTCTAGAAAACAGATAATACACTGAGCGTTCGAGTTTATGAAGATGCAGGTGGGTTGCACCTAGGGGACCCAGTCAAGCAGCTCTGCCTCTGTCTGTCTGCCTGTCGTCCTCCTGTAGACTGCCAGTCCTTTGAGGCCTCATCTGAATCTCATCTAGAACATCCAGCTGGCCCCTCCTTAACTAATGAATGACATCTCTCTTTTTTTGAAAATTTTTTTTTGTTTCTTTTGTTTCTTTATTTATTATTTGTTTGGCTGTGTTGGGTCTTAGTTGCATCTTGGTGTGTTGTTGTGCAGTTGCTGCCAAGTCGTGTCCGACTCTGTGCGACCCCATGGACTGCAGCATGCCAGGCTTCCCTGTCCTTCACCATCTCTTGGAACCTGCTAA